GTTGTCACCCCTGAAGACTAAGATGGAATGTCTCGTTTCCAGTAATTCTCGATGTTTTTTCTACCAAGGTTTCGTTTTAAGCCAACAATGGTGAGCAAACACGCTTGTTTGAGCTCGAGGGAAGGTTTAGGATTTAGGTTATGTCAGCATACTTAAGAATGTTTTGTTAACGTACAGACGTTGTATTACTTTTAGAAACGACTATGACGCTGATGGTAGAGCCACGCTGAAGCTATATTATGATTGCAGCAGGAATGGGTCAGCTCGACCGGGGTAAGACCACGCTCCCACAGAATACCTGCGTAAAATAGCAGCTTAATGCTGCTGTGTTTCGTATGGTGAGTGTAGAGAACCGGGGGGTCTCTACACTCACCATACGAATACAACGTCTGTGCCTTAACAAAACATTCTTAAGTGTGCCGAGTGCCGACATAACCTAAACCTTCCCTCGAGCTCAAACAAGCGTGTTTGCTCACCATTGTTGGCTTAAAACGAAACCTTGGTAGAAAAAACATCGAGAATACTTCAGTTGGAGTGCAATCTACCGTCCTCTAATAGGATTGAGAGCAGGTACTTCGTTTTAACGTGCAGCTAATCCGGAAAGTGATGCTTAAAAATACAAACAATTAATACAATAAAGTTGTATTGCTGTATTTTAAAAGTCTATTGAAGTTTAAGGTATTGCTATTGTTAAAAAAAAGTTGTATCACTGGCCTTTTAAATGTTTACAAAAATTCAACAGTTCAATGGGTAATGGTGCCATTGACAATTAATTGTTTAGCTTGCAGAATTTCTTTTTATAGAGCGACAAACAAGTCATAGACAATATCATTTACATAAAGAATCAAAATGCAGACGCGTTGTCACTTGTCATGCCTGAGAACTTAGATGAAATGCAAATGTCCCGTCTCCGGTTCTCTATGCTCACCGGAAGAAACAAAGCAGCATTATGCTGCTATCACGCTGGCTTCGAGCGTATTTTCTGCCGACTTCCAAAAAGGAGACTGTACTCAATTCGACTGTATGTTTTTTTTTATGTGTGTTACCGCATAACTTTTTACTGGGTGAACCGATTTCGATGATTCTTTTTTTATTTGAAAGCTGGTACTTCTCGTGTGGTGGTGGTATGAATTTGATCAAGGTCAGACTAATAGTTTTTGAGTTATTCTTAATAACTTATATTGAAGTCGGCTGTACCAAAATTTTTAATTTTAAATTATTTCCTCGTCGAAAGTCGAAACCGTGAGAGAACAGAGGGATTTGATACAGAGGATGGGCAGCAGCATCTTTCTGATAACAACTCCAAATAATAAAAAACTGCGGTTGCCAACCTGTTTGCCAAGCTTGGCAAATAGACAAATATCTCACCAATGAGGCAATCTTATTGTAAACTTATTGTTTTTTGCCATATACATTATTACTAGGAATTATTTTATACTTTTAAAAATCGCGATTAAAAACACTGGTTGATCGTAGAAGGGTGAAAATTTGAAGTGTTATGTATTTTTCACTGCTAAATCATAATAAAATAAAAATAAAATTTTTTGTCAAAAAAATAAAAATATATTTAGGGGTGGGTCACCCTTATCATTTAGGGGTTTGAAAAATAGATGTCGGCCGATTCTCAGACCTACCCGATATGCACACAAAATTTTATACAAATCGGTTCAGCCGTTTCAGAGGAGTTTGGTAACAAACACCGCGACACGAGAATTTTATATATTAGATTGTAATATAAATAACTAAAGATGTACAATTTATTAATTATTATGCACCATTTAAACAGTTAATAATTTTTATAGCGGTTGTAATGTTTTTAAATAAAATTCATGGTAATTAATAATCATATACAGCATTAGTTATGCATCGTAATCATTTAGCATCTCATAAATTATAATCTTACTGTAAAAATTAATAAAGCTGCTTAATTAATTAATTTTAATTACAATATATGAAAACATTGAAATGATAATATGCTATTATGATCTGATCGTCAGATTTCATCTTAATTAGCCCGTGATAGCCCGTTGTAGATACGAATCTCTCCAATAGTAGGAAAAGGATTGCCGTAGTCATCACGCTAGACAGGCGAACGAACTGGCAATCAGGATATAACTTGCACGGCTCGCACCCATGAGAGATGGTTTACTGCCATTTATGGGAGACGATGTTTTCTTATTGGCTTTTCCCATATTCGTCTTGCGCTAGACATCGGATGAACATGTGGAAGTGGATTCACTAACGCATTCACTACACGGCATTTTAGGCTTATGTATGAGAAATACGTCCAAGGGAAGCAGTATTGTGTATAGAAAAAAGCAAATGTAAATTGTGATTAATAAAACTACTCACGTGCATGCTAAAAATGATTAAGCTACGACAGCCTAAAAATACAACGTAGCATCAACGTGATCAAATTTCATTCGGCACACACTCCGCGCTTCGGTGAAATTATAAACCCGTTTGAAATATAATCGACTCGACCGAAAGCACAAGAATATAATATTCTTGTGCCGAAAGGTTACGATAATAATAAAAAGTTAAAAGTTAATCTAGGTGCGATTCGATCTACCTTGGAGTTGCCAGCTTTTTATATCAAATATATTCAGTATTATTTAGGTTATTATCTGTAAAAATACTACTATGAAGGATAGGGTGACAAACGAGCACACAGCCCACCTGATGGTAAGTGGTTGCTGTGACCCATAGACATCTACATTTATCTTCAATAAAGAATCAAAATGCAGATGCGTCATCACCCGTGAGGACTAAGATGGAACGCCTCGTTTCCAGTAAAAAGGATCTCCGGTTCTCAACACTCACCATACGAAACACAGCAGCAATGAGCTGCTATTTTACGCTGGTTTCTGTGAGAGCGTGGTCCTTCCCCGGTCGAGCCGACGCATTCGTGCTACAACCATAGTATAACTGCAGCATGGCTCTACCACGTATAGAATATGTCTTACCTAGTTTGAATATGACCACCCGCTCTCCCTCAATTGTGTCCACTATCACCGTCACCACTATTCCCAAAACTCTACTACACTAAAAATGTTGGAATCAGTGGTGCACGTGATAGCGCACGCAATCGAGGAAAGGCATTGTAAGCAATATAAAATAAGCCACTTTATTTTTACGCGGATCTTAAATATTAAATTTTTAACATCTTTAATATAACGGATCTCCGTAGTGTAACTCGTTAATAACCTATTTGAACAGCCTCATTCTATATGTGTTATTAAAATATAGTAATTTCGCAATGAATTTATGATTATTTTTTATTATAAAAATCAGTTGAACTCATTATTCAATATGATTACGCTTTGAATATAAATAGGAGGTAGCGCAATGCATGAATTACTAATAACCGCATTGCGAATCACCAAAAGGTAAAAGTCCACTGCCCGCTCGTGTATTGCCTTCTAGTCTACAAATTAATTCAACTGCACCTCTTATCTGCAACCAATGGAGCTCGCGAATAACATAAAAACTGTAATTAATACCTCTGAGAGACGTAATCATTCTCTCATTACGAAGCCCGTTGCTTATATTAATTATCAAAGGCTCTAATCGACAAACCGAAGCGTAATAAATAATCGTTCTAGCGAAGTAAAAAGTGGAACTCTTCTAAGTCAAGCTTTAGCTCCTGTCGCTCGCTTGACATACGTCAGTGTTGCCGTAAAAAAGGCTGCCGGCGACCTTGCCTTTGTCTCAACCTGTAATTCGCGCCGGGTTTTTGTTCCCTGCCTTCGCTCTCAATGCCATGTATCAAGGGAACGAGGTCCATTGTTGGTATGAACGATCGTTAATAATAATCAAGTTTGATAACATTTTATGCGACGATGCCATAATGCGAATGACAAAAAATTACAAGTGTGTGTTGATACGGTTCCACCGTTTAGATTATTCCTATTTTCTAATATATACTAAAGTTTAAATACTGGAGCGTGTAAACAAAATATGCAGTAAGAGCTATTTGGTTTGAAGTTCCAGGTATTCATTGCAGGTTACTTTGATAATTCACAAGCTAAGGTTGAATGTAAGAAATGGTTTATAGAAACATAACAAATAATTATTAATTTAAATTACACGTCTTATGACCCCTCATTTAACTGGAGCATACATGTAAAAGAGATGTTTTTCAACATAGTATATTTGTAATATTTTATAAGCTAAAAATTGGGACTTATTTATTAATTTATTCATTACAGCAGACTAAAATCCACTGCTGAACATAAGCCTCTCCCTAAATTACTGTAGAAGGGGTATATTTGCCATAGTTACACCCTAGTCGGGCGAAATAGCAACCGTAGTTTTTTTAAATATTAGAATAAGAGTGACAAACGAGCACACAGTCCACCTGATGGTAAGTGAAGTGATTGCTGTGGTTCATAGACATCTACATCTATCTTCGTTTGCGAATTAAAATGCAGATGCGTTGTCAGCCGTGAGGACTAAGATAGAATGCCTCATTTCCAGTAAAAAGGTTCTCCGGTTCTCTATACTCACCATACGAAACACAGCAGCATTAAGCTGCTATTTTACGGTGGTATTCTGTGAGAGCGTGGTCATTCCCCAGTCGAGACGACCCATTCGTGCTACAACTATTCTACTAATGCTGCAGCATGGCTCTATCACGTAAAAAAAATATTTTTGCAGTTATTATCAGGAAGATGCTGCTACGATACTCCTGCATTTTCCATCTGTCGCCTCACGAGACCCACGGGACGATATGGGATAGTGGATATTATTACAATCCAATACCCCATATAGTATAACTACAGTGGAGATCTATTATCGAAACATTATACAGACTTTTTCTATTTATAAAATGTTATCTAATTCAGTCAATAATTTACAGAATAATGATTTTGTGACTCATTAGCACAGATCGATATACTTAAATTATAGGCGTTTTATTGATAGTGGTACCCTAAAAACTTATATCCATTGTTATTCAGTTGTTCAAGTTTTATAATCTATTTCTTTCGTTGTTTCAGATGGAAAAGTTTGCAAGCATCGTCGCAAGTGAGTGCTCCATTCACGCGAGGTTCTTTCTCTGCTCTGCCTTCGCCCCGCTTTGCTCCGAGCAAGTGTCCGGCTCCGTGAGCGCCTGTCGGGCCCTCTGCGAGACAGTGGCTGAAGATTGCAAGGAGCAAATCAAACTTCTAGTGCCGGCAGTCACACTCGACTGCGCGGTATTTCCGGATAGCGCCGTCAGAAAATTGTGCATGAGACCGCCAAACGCCAGTGAGTTATACACCGAACCCCAGCCACCTTCCCGATGGCCATTCCATGACCATGAACTTAGAGAGCATGGCTGTCCTCCCGCGTATACACGAGCGCCGACGGGAGAGTGTTGGCCCGCGTGTGGACAACACGCCAGATACACGCAAGCCGATAAAAAGTCTGCGGAGATCTGGATGAATACGATTGCTTGGTTTTCATTAGTTTCGACATCTTTCGCGCTGCTGACCTTTTGCGCCGAGCCCTCAAGATATCGATATCCAGAAAGGCCGGTGGTGTGGATGGCTGCGTGTCACGCTATCGTTGCAATGGCACACGTTACTAGGAGCTGGTTGGGACCAAAAGCGGTGTCCTGCTCTGGTGGTACGCTGGCTGTTGACGGACTGGCTTCACCAACTTGTGTGGCTTTCTTCTCATTGACGTACTACTTCACGTTAGCGGCCGACGCGTGGTTTGCTAACGCGTGCGTCGCTTGGTACCTGACCGCAGCGAGTGAATGGTCCACTGAGGCGTTGGAGCGTGCTGCGGCGTACCTCCACGCGGTGGCGTGGGGCTGGGCGGGAGCGTGGACTGCGGCCGCCTTAGCCCTGAGAAGAGTTACAGCTGACGAATTGATCGGAACGTGTGGGATTTCGGATGCGGCCGCCGCAGCGCTCATCGGTGTGCCCAGGGGCGCATTACTTGTTACATCCGTGGCGTTGGCGGTTGGAGCGTGTCCGGGCATAATGCGGGTGCGTCGAGCGCTCGACTCTCGAGGCGCCAAGAGAGTGGGACGACTAGCAGTCCGTGCGGCTGCAGGCGGCTTTCTGTACTTGCTCCTAGCGGCCTTTGCGACTGGTTTGAAGTTGTTGGAAGCGCGAACTAGAGAAATTCAGACTAACATAGCCCTATTAGCGGCTTTAGAAGCTGGCAACGTGGAGAACACGGCCGGTTCAAGCGGGCTATCGGTGTGTCTGTGGTTATCGTGTGGGATCGCGGCGGGGGCATGGGCTTGGTCGAAGAAGTCGGCTGTGGTTTGGAGGAAAGCGCTGTGTCCGCCGAGGAAGGCGCCGTGCTGCGCGCCCCCCTTGCTGCGACCGCATCACCCTTACTATAAGCGCCCTCTGCACGTCTCAAGAGTCTGATAGCGCGTGTCTCAAAGACTGGTGTTGAACTCAAGTGCCTCACTAATGCCTTCTGTGAAGGCTCTCTCCATATTGTACAAATTTGTGTAAATAGTGTAAAATTTAAATAATATACTGTTGATTTTTATACAATATGATGTTTCTCATTTGAATGAACACTCGATACACTAAACGATCATATTTATATTCAGTTAAAGCTCATTTTAAGATCATATATAACTAGTTTGTATAGGAGCACTACTACAGACAAGAAGTACCAAGTACTTCTACAAATTATTACTTTCTAAGAAACCCAGTGTTACCAACTCGAATCTTTTCAAATCCGTAGATAGGTATAAACGTTTCCGTAGAGTTAGCCGTGGTAGTTTAGGGGCTAAGAGCTCGCTGTAAATTCCACAGTACGCGAGCAACCCGAGTTCGACCCCGCCGACATCAATGAACTTGTAATTGCAATTTTAGTTGCTGATTTACCACGTGCTCGGTGGCGAAGGAAAACGTCGTGAGGAAACCTGCATTTCCGAGAAATAAGAAAAAATATTTCGACGACATGTGAAGTTCGCTAACACAGATTGGGACAGCGCAGCGGACATTTCCTTGCCCTAAAAACCCTCTCAGAAACGAGAGGAGGCCTGTGCCCAGCAGTGGGACGTATATAGACTGTAACTTTAAGATACCTAACCCAAAATCCACAGCGTAGTGAATAGGTAAAACCACGGCTAATATATTATGAAGTAAAATGAATAGTGTGAGGGTTTGTTGTAGTTAGTTGAAAGTGTTATAAAACAATAAAGTAGTAGCCACGTTTAAGTATGATGCCTTAATGGACTTTCATGATATGTCCTGGAAAATGTTTATTTCTCAGACAAACAGGTTTTATCAAGTTGTAAATCTGCATTTAAAATTACAAAAAAACAATTTCATTGGAGCCGTTGAGAATCGAACTTGCCTTTAATTATGTTTAAGATCGTTAAGCAGAGCGCCTTGATATAATTTAAATGATAATGTCAGCCTGTAGAAGTCCACTGTTCTCAATTAATAGGGAGAATTTGACTTTATCATCACGCTTATCTGGCTGATTGATGATCACAGTACGAGGGCGACACAGAAAGTTTTTAGAATTGGCCACTTGTAAACGATATAATAAAAAAATAAGTTCAAATTTTGAAAATGGAATTTCCGAAAATAAAAGAAAAACTTAGGGGAAAACGTTTTATCGACGCCGAGGAAGAGGTGACTGCGTATCAAAATGCCGTCGGAGAGACCTCTAAGGACGAGTGGGCATGTGGGCAAGTATTGATGTAAATGGACACTATTTTGTAAAGATATAAACTAATAACTTACTACGTAACATAAGCACTCACGCCTGTCACCCAGAGGGGTAAGCAGAGACTACGGACTTTCATTTTGCATGATCCTGACACACCTCTGTCGCCTCATTTACATCCATATACTATACTCGTCGGTGCTCTCAACGTATTATTAATTATCTAAAAGTTTTAATAATATCTATATCTCGTGAGCTCGTGACAAATTACTCTTAATCTGGCCAATCTTTAATATATCGCTAATTTGGTCGATAAACTTACGTCTAGGACGTCCCTTCCCGACTCTGCCGTTCACTTGGGCATTGCATTGAAAATTTTACATCTGGCTTAAATGAGATTATATACTGCGATCTATCGGAAATATTGAGATTTTTCTAGCACATCCCATAGGCACTCTTACGACACACGGTATGAAACATTTACGTGGTAGAGCCACGCTACAACTATATTATTAGTATAGTTAGCACGAATGGGTCAGCCCGGCCGGGGAAGGACCACGCTCTCACAGAATACCAGCGTAAAATAGCAGCTTAATGCTGATGTGTTTCGTATGGTGAGTATAGAGAACCGGAGACCCTTTTTACTGGAAACAAGGCATTCTATCTTTTATAGGTTAAGGGTGATAAGCGAGCACACAGTCCACCTGATTGTAAGTGGTTGCTGTGGCCCATAGACATCCACATCTAACCTCGATTACGAATCAAAATGCAGATGCGTTGTCACCCATGAGGACTAAGATTTAATACCACGTTTTCAGTAAACAAGGTCTCCAGTTCTCTGCACTCACCATACGAAACACAGCTGCATCAAGTTGCTGTTTTACGCTGGTGTTCTGTGAGAGCATGGTTCTTTCCGGTCGAGCCGACCCATTCGTGCAACAATTATACTATTAATATAGTTGAAGTATGGCTCCACCACTTACCCATATAGCGACTACTGGCAATTTCAAACGGATTCCTTCATTTTAAACCTTTTGACGGGCTAGCACCCTTAGGCAATTGTCTACGTCTATTTGGAAATTTCGATTGTGTTCGAAAGCTACATTGTTAATGCTTTAATCGAAATTGGTCAGGAAAATATCATCATCAATGTTCTTGAAAATATTTTTTATGGAATACACAAAATGTTTCACTACAAAAATTATTTCGGCATATTTAATTCAATGGATATCATTACTTTATTTTCCTTCTTCATTATCGGCCCTTAAAAAACAAAAGTCCACTGCTGGACATGGGCTTCTATTGTAGGGATTTTGGAGGGCGGATTGAGTGATTATATACTCTTTGGTGTCAGACGTTATCAATAAATAATAATAACGGCTCTGGGATCTAGCCCTTCTGAGCCTGAAGTTTATTTATGAATTAGAATATTATAATAATTCACAATATGTTGATGCGTCACATTGTGCAGCCCTTGGGAGATTTTGACGGCAACTTGAGCCAGCAGACAGCTGACGGTTGGCGATGGTATCTCAAGGCGCCTAAGTAGACAGTCACCTTATTTTGAGAATCACATCACCATCAGAGCACTTGTTTCACAGTTTCCACTAATAGTTCACATGCGCAGACACTTAATACACAAAATCGCACCACTTTTACATATCAAAGTCCACTTCAAACCATTATTTAAACAATAATACAGGAGCAGCAAACCGCCGCCGGTCAAGTTCCCGTCAAACCCTGGTGTCAGACGTCTCCCAAGGTGCCATAGATAATACACAAAATCTTTGTAAGTAATACACATTATCTGAGTAATATACTTCTTATCTATAAGTTGGCTGGCGCTATTGTACGTGGCTGGTGTTGGTAATTTACATCTGACGTAAACGACATGGTTATACCGCTACCTATCGGAGATCATAAGATTTTTCTGGCATCTTTCATAGTTTCCTTTTACGCGCATTGAGATATAATGTACTACGTACCTAGTACATTATATCTCAATGTTTACGCGACACCCACAGGACGAAATGGTGTGATTGATTCACTTACGATGATTAAAGTAGGTATTTCCTGTTATCAGCTCGCAGATTTTAAATAAGCAGTACAGAATAAATAATAGTACTACGTACTAGCAGGCTTACTCCCGAACCAATTCAAATCGTGAAATACGATCGAAGATCATTTTAAATAAATTAAAAATTCACTTGCAATGTTTTTATTATACAAACAAATGTAAGTAAAAGCATTGTCTTTGCTTGCGATTACAAGCGCTTTCTAGCGGCGGATAGCAGGTGACTTCCGTTCTGATAATTTCAATTTGAACTACTATTCCATTTCTTCCTAGCCAAGGTTAGGTTAGGTTAGTTAGAGTATAAAATTACCTTGAGTTCGAATAAAATTTGATAGATGTTCTTTTATTCATTCATCATCAGCCCGTAAGTCCACAGTTGGATATATAATAATCTTCCGCTCACTAGATGTCGCTAGTAGTAACTGAAAAGCTAGTAGTAAAGTTTTGTTCATAGATAATACACTAGTTTTGTTTTACATGAGGGGGCAGCCACGGTTTTTGACGTTGCTGTTATATATTATATCACAGTTTTAATGGCGATGAAAGCACACGCACAGAGAGCCTTATTAAGATAGAAGTTAATTTGTGTGCTAGAATGTAGGGTATATCCAATGTTTCAATTTTTTTGCACATGTTTTAAATCACTTTTTAATTCTCCTAGTTTTAGGAATATCCGTAGTTTAGTTTATCGATTTCTAATTTAATTATTATAAATTATAACAAATATATTAAAAAGAAATATTAACCCACCTTTCATTTTCCTAACAAATAAGGGCATCCACCACTTTTTCTGCCACCAGGGCAGCGCCACTTTGCAACGGGGCTAAATATTTGACAGATTTCATAATAATTTCCTAGGAAAATAATGTAAGGGTCAATGTGTCTTTCTGTATTATTAATTATATTTTAAATTCTTTACATTAGAACTGAATAAACCAAACTATAGATATAACTAAAAGTAGAAAAAATAAAAAGTTAAAAAGTGCAAAGAATTAAAGATCAAACCACTGAAGCATTGTTTTGTATATTGATATAAATACTCTAGGAAATTTAAACCAATTTCCAAATCAAGTGACATTGTGTAACTAAACTTTACCTTAGTCACAACTAGCGACATCTAGTGAATCGAAGATTTATTACCCCTCATTGCTTCGCCGCCATGTAGTCTGTCAAGTGGCGCCGTCCTGGTGACAGAGAAAGTCGTAGAACGTAGAACCCCTTTGTCACGCTTGGTTATACTCATTGATTGTGTCTAATATAATATAATGTATTCTCTGGGTCTTGTCAACTGCTGACCTATTCCTTTCAGAATCCAAATAGTGAATAAACTTACAAACCATTTTATAGGTACACATAAAATACTAAAATAGGCGATGGTATCTATTAAATGGTTATAGCGCCATCTATTGCATACCACAAAAAGTTTTGCCTGTCTAAATGAGGACTAATAATCTTCCGCTCACTAGATGTCGTCATTTGACACTGAGGTTTTTTAAAGTTAAGCTAGCGCTCAACTACAATCCCCCCTAATGGTGATGTAGCCTAAGATGGTGAAGCGCACTGACATAACAAAAGCCTTTTAACTCTTACCTTGAAGACACCCACATTGTTATCGGATGGAAACAGATGCTGGCAACTGCTCTGTATGTACGCATCACGAACGGTGTAGCAAACCGTTTGGTTCGAATGTGTGGTAAGTATACAACAAAAGGGTGGAGACTGACCGAACGCGAACGCCTGGTTGTCCGAACGCCTGGTTGTCCGATGGTGGAACGGAGGAGAAATTAAATTATGCAATTCTTGCATCCTGGGTAAAGTTTTTGTTACACAATGTCATTTAATTTAGGAAGTTAGTTTTAAATAAAAGTTTATCAGTTTCTACAATATTAATACAATACTACTAGAGTATTATATTAATACACAAAACAATGCCTCAGTGCTTTGCTTTTTAATTTTTTGCACACTTTTAACTTTACTTTTAATAATTCTATTTTTATGAATATCTGTGGTTTGGTTTATTTATTTTTATCTAATTGATATAAAATATAACTAATAGCACAGAAAGGAACATTAACTTTTACATTTTTCGAACAAATTAACTTCTCCGCTATGAAATCTACCAAGTATTACCTTATTTTTAAGTGGCGCCGCCCTGGTGGCAGAAAAAGTCGTGGATGCCCTCATTACACCCGATAATACACCTCTCAGAAATTCAACGAAATGTAAAATATACAAAAAGACCGACTGTAATGGATTTTAACAAATTAGCTTATCTATTTAGATTTTTAGCTTAATTATTTTAGATTTTAACATCGCCACCACATGACGCTAAAACGCTAATATAGCCAATGAAATGTAAAATGTACGGATGCAACTAAACGATACCCTTTATATTTTATATACAAATGACTTTAGGAATCAAGACAAATAAAAGTTTATGGACATAGAGCCGAAGCTATGAACATGTGTATTGAGAAAATAATCCCTTTAAATTACGTAATAGTTGTCTTTCAGCTACGGCCATCCGCATAGTTTAGTAGTTTCATCTTAATTATCGCACGAACCAAGTTTTTGTATGCTCAAGATCGATCACTAATAAAAAGTGATCGATGATGCTCAACCATATCATAATATATTATCACTGTCAGCTATACCATAGAATAAATAATAGTACAAGAAGCTATTTAGTTTATTTAGGTTTAGTTTTAGTTCATAATGTTCAACACAATGTTAATTTGCAATAAACTATTTTATATTTGGCCGGATCACTTATAAATAAATGTGCTAGCTCAAACATAACCTACTGCCGGCCGCTACGGCTCGATAGATAGTTCAAGTGTCACTTTTAAATTCAGTTAATTTATTTGATGGATAACTTTTATCCGACCATTGAAAAATCTGCAAATAGATTATTAATATTTAAATAACAAATTAAAGCTATTGAATACGTTTGTTACAAATATTTAATTCCGTTTAGCTAGCACCCATAGTCACGGGGGCTATTATACACTTCTGTACAGTGCTTTAAAAATACAAACCACGTTGAGGAACCACGGAGAAAAAGCAGCATTATTTTGTTTCCAAACTATAACAGTTGTCTATGATATTATTTATAATTACATTTTCGGTCAATATTTACAACCTTTCAGAAGTCCGCTGCTGGACATCGGCATACCCCACTAATTGTCTCATAGTGGGATATTTGCAAAGTTGCCACGCTTGGCAGGTGGGTTGACAACTACCGTTTTTTTTTATTCTTTGGGTTTTATCAGGTACTGCTATACTATACTGCTGCCCATTTTACGTTTTATTTCAGGTACGACACTGACAGAAAGACGAGATATATGGATGTGCGTGTGTGTGTGAATGCGTGCGTGCGTGCGCGCGCGCGTGTGTGTGTGTGTGTGTATGTGTGTGTGTGTGTGTGTGTGTGTAGATTCTCTTAAAGCGCTTATTACATTATCCAATTTTTAGAAAATCTAATTAGAAACCTAAGTTGGAAGCTAGTGATCACATTACACTAAATTGAATTCTAAATCGTGACGAAGTACATTCTTAAAAGAAGTATCGACGGGCTTGCACGTTTGATCGATGGCGCCGTATTTATCAAAACAGCAGAAAATACGACTTGCCTTAGCCGTGGTGGGAACAATAGATATTAAAAATAGATAAAAGAGAATATGCTGGGTTAAGGAATACTTGTCAGTGTATTTGTAAATATTTAACAACACCTTGAAGCCCTCTTCACGCATTGCTTTTTTTAAATAGTTTTCATCATTTTACATATAGGGCATTTACCATTATATTATACAAATAGGGCATTTACCCTATACAGGTCTATAATTTGTAATAACACCTCTTTTTCTGTGGACATGCTGCCACACGAACCACTGCTCAATTCAGTCGCTTCACTCGCCATCGCAAACAAATGTCGCACGCGCAGTCAAGACATCCACTTAGGTCGAAGCGCGGGCGCCGACTGGTCGTTCTAAATCGTAACGTTGCGATTACACTGTCCTAAATTGTAGACAATTTAGAAAGTAGAGCGGTCGGGACCTCCAATTTTAACTAAATCGGATCCTAACTGTTCTAACTATGATTACACTTTCCAACTTCCTAATTAGATTTTCTAAAAATTGGATAATGTAATAAGCGCTTAAGTCGACGATATTATTATCATCCATATAAAGAGTAATATTATGGTTTTTTTTTTTAAATTGTTTACATGGATCTGGAATGTTTTTAGAGATGCTGTTTTAAAAGCGTATAAAAATTAAAAATACAAATTAAATAGTTAAACATGTTTTATTAATAAAACTTCTAAACATATATTACACCGATAAGTAGGTATATATAACTCTCTATACAAATAGTGAAACATCTTGAATAATAATTACATATCTTACAATTTTAACCTTTTCCTAACAACCCTGACTGAATAATTTGATTTCGCGGCATATCTCAAAGAAACAGATAAAAAATTGTATTTTACAAGAACAAAAAACACAAAACGAATGAAGATAAAAAAACATCCAATTGGCATTCTTTTTCTAAAAGTATGTACTCGTTAGTTAATATATAAGGTAAAGTATGGAATGTTAAAAAAAAAAGAACTTAAGTATCTTACTTTTGCTTTATCTTAATTTTAAAAAGTATTGTTTTAAAAAACTAGTTCTGTAAAGGAACAACCAGTTCATAGACAAACGTAGAATGCAATTTAAAGTGTAATTAACACGCAAGAGTAAATTTAAAGTAAAATTAGTTCCCAGAGTGCCTACTTAATTATCTATATGGTTCACTACTTACTCTAATAGGCCGTCAAAGTCATAATTATGTTAAAATATAAAAGTAGCAGGTAAAATTCTAGAGAACAATATAACATGATAAATAGGAATAAGCCAATTGCAACTTATACTGTCGCAGAAGGTAGGAAATTTGCGCCCTCGCGCATATAAACATAGCAACACCGGACCGCATATATAATTCTCGTTTACATTTTGATTTGTGAAAAGAAATTCATTCATTCTTAATGTAAATTTTCAATTTCATTTCAATACAAAAAAAAAAAATACATAGCTAATGTTTCTTCTAATGGCAGTTTCGTCTAGACTTTGATTGCGTTATGTTTTTGACGTGACAACGTCTTATAATTCGATGAAGCTGGCTGCACGCACGAAAAAACATGACTCATGCGGCGTTACCTCGCTCTGAGGCGTTCCATTTAAAGCTTGAAGTGCAAGCGAGAGCGCGGAACGAGCGACAAAGAGGCACAATCGGCCTCCGCGTTCGGCAGCGTTCGACATCTGTCTCTCTCCTACTTGAGTGAGCGATGCGTCCGCATGGACAGCTGCTATACAATAATACATTTACATGTTTTCGTCAAGTATGAAGTGCAGTGAAAAGTGAATGTGGTGTCAATTGTTTATAGCATCATTTTCTTATGACGTTGTCACGTTCAACTATCGTCAGTAAACAGACTTTACAGACAACCAATTTTTTTTTTTGAGTTTAGAAACGTCAGTTAAATCTGTAAAATCAATTTCAAAAGGGTGACCTTAGGGTAAACTAGACAACAACTTGAAATATTATAAGCTATTACCTACGTAGGCATTTCAAGATTATTTAAATGTAAAAATATCTAGAGGTTGTTTGAACGTTAAAACTATAGAAAAATACTGGCAACACACAACATTAGTTATTGCATTTTGTAATGTTTTCCTTTTAAAGAGGGGGCTAAAACGATCAAAATGGGAACTATTATATTCGATGTGTAATATTATAGTTAATTGAAAATAAATATTATATTCAATTAACTATATTATATTCAGTCTGCAAATAAATATGGTGTATTTGCAGATTGAGTATTGTGATTGAATATACCATATTATAGCGGGAGGTGCTCTCCCAACTAGGTAAGACACATCACTTAGTTTTATTACATGGATCTTAGATATTAAATTTTTAACATGTTTAGTAGTTTAGTAACTCCTGATCCTATTAATTAATGGATATGATGTGACAATTATTATTATTTAAATAATATACAAAATAAGGAAAGATATAGTACGGTAGCTTCTTTATTATAATTATTTATATGAATTTATCTACGGCCATGATCAAATAATGTACAAAGTTTATTTTTCTTTACAATGCAATCATAACCAGGTGCCAACATCGCGCTCGTGCCACAGCTATCCTTCTTGTGTCGACATCAAAGTATCGAAAACTTCCGAGCCCGGAATAACAAGGTCGTTTGCCGACCCGAAGTAGCTGGCAAAGTTGAAAATACTAGATTCCTGTCTAACATTCTCGTTTGAGCTGAATTGAGCTTTATTCTTACTATGCATTGGGGTTGCATTCGCACTTAGCGATTTTTGAGTCAACACGGGGAAGGTGTCCAAAGATTCAGGATCGAGAACAGTTTGGTCCTTCGTGCCGGATACGTGGCGATTTTCCTGTGGATCGTATAAAGTGGCCTCTTTTACCGATATTTCATTCGCATCGTTGTAAGGATTGGTTAAATATTCGGCGTATAGCTCGCTTTGCTGTGTATCTTTGAGTATAGTTGTGTTATTATCTAAATTAGTGATATTGGATAAAGGTTTTATTTTTTCAGACTGAGAATCACTTTGATTTGTATTTAACCGAGGTTGAAGGGAATTTTGTGTGGGTTCGGCTGGCAGTGGATATAATACAGGCGGCTGCGGCGTTTGTATCGATATTCCTATTGGTGTGGAAATCATCTGGAAAATAAAATCTAAAAGTTAGTTTCTATAACACATGAAAGTAAAAACGTTATATTATCATAAATAATATTTAAGACTTTTAAAAATGTGGAAATAATTTGTTTGTAAAGTTCTTTTAAATTTTGACATTAAAATTTTGACTAAAGATATGAAAATATTTGGTATAAATCCAAAAGTGCAGGCCTCACACGCTTATTATGTTAAAAATTAAAAATTGTCTAAAAGAGAAATCTATTGAAATAAATCCATATTATTTTTCCTATCGTGACGCTGTTTGAGGCAAAATGACACGAGAGTATGTACAGGAAAGAGAAAGAATACACGCATGAACATGTGACAAGAAAGAGATTAAAATAGTGACGATAATTTTTCCAAGAAAAAAAAAAAACAGAGAATAAGATCGACTTTCATTAATAACTTTTAAACGGTGTTTAGTTCAATAACAAGAATCAATAGGGATCCTCCTTAAAATATATGGAATCTTATTTAATACTATGTATCTCAATCTATTGCTTACATTTCTATTAAGCGAGAAGAGTCACCGACGCACAGACCAACGGACGGCAGACCATGTATTTTTTTTCAATTACGTATTTTGTTATGTAATCTAAAGGGAATCAAATAGAAAATAAACTAATCTTATAATTCAATGTCTATAGTTATTGTAACGTTGATAACAATATGGATTTGATTTATAGCTAAAAGTATAAAAACGATTTTATGTAGCGAAATTGAGGTATGGCCACATATCGAGAGTAGAGCACTCCCTCACGTTGTGAGGCGTGCAATTTTCAATGATTATAATGTAGTCGCAATTTATATAATGAGCCTACCTCATTTAAGGGTTGCAAAAGTACAGACGAAGTCAGTCCAGTTTGATCGTACAGCGGATTTCTAATCGGTACCATTCCGCTTACTTGTACAGGCGTTGGTACCGTACCAACTATTGCTGGTCCAACTACGCTTGAAGGTGGTGCAGCACTACTTAAAGTTTGTGACGCATCGGTTACAGTTGGCACAACACTAATTGGTGTTGGCGCTACTAGAGATGGTGTAGCTATAAGCGGAGGCGTTTGGACCAAGTTTACAGGTGAATGCGCATTTGATGCCACTAGAATATTCGGTGACTGAGCCAAAGATGTCTGGACGTGGATTGGACGGGATGTTTGAGCCAATGTGTTAGGTATCACCTGGGTGTTGGTAATGTTCGGCGGACTCGATTGTACTGGAAGGATAGTTGGAGTATTCGGTCCAACAGGGATGAGGGTTGGTAAGGATGAAGGGAGTGGTGGCTGTAGGTGGTTCGGCAGATTCGAAGCGGGTTTCGTGTTGTCGTTCACTGAAAATAAAATAAAAAAGCAATAAATACATAGATAAGTTAAAATGTAGAGCAATATATTTTAATAGGACTAAAAGTGTACCATCTGGAAACAGTTCTTCTTTCAGATTTGGTAGGAATTCACCGATGATCTCCCATGTGATGTACCATAGGTCATTGTAATTGTCACCAGTGTTGAATATCTGAAAGAAATTACTCCCAGGTTAGTATTACCGATTGTACTTTAACATCTTAATAAAATAGACTAGATGTCATTAACAACCCATCCTGACGACTCTGTAATAAGTATTTTGATTAAATGGCCATTTCCAAAAAAGGTTTGGGTTGAACTAAGTCTATTTTTTGACGTGACAATGTCTTATAATTCGATGAAGCTGACTGCACGCACGAAAAAACATGACTCATGCAGCGTTACCTCGCTCTGTGCGAGAGTGCGGAACGAGTGACAAAGAGGCACGATCGAGAACATTTTCTTATGACGTTGTCACGTTCAACTATCGTCAGTAAACCGACTTTACAGACAACCGATTTTTTTTTATAGAATAAGGATAACAAACGAGCACACAGTCCACCTGATGGTAAGTAGATACCGTGGCCCATAGACATCTACATTTAGCCACGATTAACGTGTCGTCACCCGTGAGGACAAAGATGAATGCCTCGTTTCCAGTAAAAAGGGTCTCAGGTTCTCAACACTCACCATACGAAACACAGCTGCATTACGCTGCTATTTTACGCTGGTATTCTGTGAGAGCGTGGTCCTTCCCCGGTCGAGCCGACCCATTCGTGCTACAACGATACCACTAATATAGCTGCAGCATGGCACTACCATGTAAATGTGGAAAATAAGATATAAGCATAGGTTTAAAAGAGGGATTATAAGTCGTTATATATATCCTTATTTCCATTACGAAGCAATCTATGTGGGAGGCCTATGTTCAGCAGTGGGCTCTAATAAGCAGCAATAATGATAGATGTTGATCGTCATTATGTCTGGTCAAGCCGTAAAGTTATTAGTAATTTGCGAAAATTGTTATTGAAAATTTTAATTTTCAGAGATGACAACATATAGGTAAGCCTCTCTGTTCAAGTTTGTAGCGGATGTCCATGAATTGCAGCAGTAACTTTTTTTATAGAATAAGGATAACAAACGAGCACAAAGTTTACTTGATGCCTATATAGTTGCAGCGTTGCTCTACCACGTTTAAAACTTATGGTAATAAAGTGGATTGTCGACTTGCACGTGGTGAGGCAGCTTGAATATGTCGGCTTCATCACGGAAGGACCACGCTCTTACAGAAAACCAGCGTAAAATTACAATTTTACGCTGGTATATTAGTACGCATATTCCAGCTGTATTTAGTATGGTTAAAGGCGAGAATAGGAGCTTTTTTAAACTGGTACCGAAACACTCCATCTTAGTTCACAGAGATGACAAAATTCCTGCATTTTGTTTCTTAATAGATGACAGGTGCAGTTATCTATGTGCAGTAGCAAATAATTGCCACCAGTTGGACTATACGTTCGTTTGTTTCTGTTACTTGTATAAATTAAAAGTTCATTCACCTTTTGTATAATTTGAAAAATATCTATGACACAGGCTTCAACTTCGTTCACCTGTTTCACACGTTTTTCAGGCGAAAAAACGTCAGACGGTATATAACGGTAATATCTCTGGTGTTGCAAATGTTTATGGATGGCAGTTACTCATTATTAGCCTGGCTATTCACAAAGATTTTTTTTCGGAAAGATTTCTTTTGGAAGCGGGAACGTTTCGTTCGTTAAGTATTAGATTCAAATGTCACAGACTTTGGTATTCACGTTTCCTTTCGTTTAGGGTTCGACACGGAAAGTTTTTCGAAATTCAGTGGGAGTTCACTGAGTGCAAATATTGAAGTAATTATATGGAAATACGTTCTATAGATAATTGCATTTAATTTGTGTCGAGACAATTGTTAAAAGACCTGCAGGTGAGCCGAATGGGCGTATGTTTCCTCTTATATAAAAAAAAACTTAATGGTAATAAACCGCGTTCGTCCATCCTCCTGGCAATCGTGGTAACTATGGTAAGCATTTCTCCAAAAGTTATGCTCCTAATATATATAAATTTAAATTTGAAACTCTCCCCTGAAGGTGTGTAAGATGAGCAGCCTGTAGGAGCCTTGAGAGGTTGAGAACATGGAATACTATTGACGATATCGACTGTCTACTAGTTACTGCCGATGGTGATGAAAAATATATTACAGCATTTGATGCATTGTTTTATCTAAAGTCCTTATATCCAATGTAACAGTAAAAAAAAAAGAATAGACAAAGCGCACTGACCCCTACGGAGTGCATGACGAGCAGCATGTTTTTGAGCGACTCCAGCGCTGCCTCCTGCAGCGGCTCGCGCGGCGCCCGCAGCAGCGCGCGCTGCACGCGCAGCACGCGCGCCCACAGCGCTGCGAACGACGCGCGCGAGCTCAGCGCGCCCAGGTGCTGCAGGAACACCTGCGCACACCCACACACTCACTCGCACTCCTCACTCCACACGGACCACTCGAAAACTTATATGTACTATACAAAACCGGCACTACGTTAAGGTTAGCGTTTACCAGGCGGACCGCATCGAGACGCATCGCAACGCAAAAATCCGCTTGCTATACATTTTGTATGAAACTGCGTCGATTAGAGGCGGGGCGGGCCGGACCGCGACGGAATCCGTCGGCGCAACGCTCGGCGAGCGTATTTTTCCGTCAATGCGACCCGGCCCCGCCCGCACCGCCTCCAGTGGACGAATCAGTGCTGCCATTTTAGCGCTTAGGGAGCTAGATCTAGCGCTTTTTGGAATGTTTAGCGCGCATTTCAAAATTTTTAATTTATTAAAATAGTTCTAGAAAAATCTCTGCGTCGGCTTTCAAATATAATTAAATATATTCGACACTAGATGGCGACACTTTGTGTCACGTGAACTAAAAATATAAAGGTACGTAGAGCTCAGTAATGATAAAATAATCATACGAAAGTGCTGAAATTTGTTTTGCATTCAGACATAAAGAAATTTTAATCGCCATAATATTATTTTTATAGTTTATAACATTTTGTGAACATGCCGCCATCTACCGTCAAGATAGCTAAGCTACATTGCAACATCGATATGGAAAGATTCGAGTAGTTTTCCTATTTATCGGTAGATGTAGATAGTGTAGTGGGCGAGGCTTTGCATCCCCCCACCCCGCAAATTGTCACGCGTTGTTACATAGTGAAATTTAATTACAACGTCTCCTCTTTGTATTTGCTTCATGACTGGGACGAATGAAGCGCAACATTTGTAGTAGAACATTGAAGCGAGCGGACGTATGTATTTACGTTAAAAAATGAACGAGGAACTACTTATATATAGTTCGTTCCACAATATCCAGACTTTATGTTTGCGAAGTTTATTATTTTCTTGTTTCTTATCCAAGAACATTAATAAAAATAATTCCTCATCGGAGCTATCCACTGTCACACTAACGTAAGCTTGCTTGTCATTCGTACGACTGACTGTAAAAATCTGCCCTGTATAGTGGACGCAGTACGCAAAAATGCACGCCGCACCGTTGCGACCCGACCTGCCTCAAATGGACGCTTATCTTTACTATACATTGTGTCACCTAACTTACGGTTAAGTCTCCGTAACTTCTTTAGTCAACCACGTGCGGCCGAGAAGACTAGTTACTTGTTTTGTAAACCGCAAGCGTTGTTTTAACAATCAGATTTTGTTTAATGTGACAAAATCAGTCATGATTTATGTGCGCACATTACTTTATTACGTACTAACTGCTACCCGCGACTTCATCCGTGTTACTTGATATACTAAAAAGATCGCAAGCAAAACTATACTTTGCTTACAAAATCGTTATATCTTAAAACTTTAACAACTTTACATTCAATGAAGATATCTTTTTTTTTATAAGAACCAAGTGTGTAAGAAATAAAACTTAGAAAACCAAATTAACCGTGCTAGATACACCCGATACACAGCCGTGACACAATTTTTGTTCTAAATTGCCGGTGTAATAATATGTATACATAGAAGTGTTTTCGTGGGTTATATATGAGCAACTTTTTTGGTCATCGCTCCATGGATTAGACTGTAATTTGGGATTGACTAAAACTTTTATGATACAAAAAAATACAGCACATGTCCTATTATGGTTATATTTAACAACTGAATGAATTTTAATACACTAAATTTCACTAAATTCGTCCAGTAGTTTTCACGTGATTGAGCCACAAATATATTAATAAAATTGAAGTGTTTATCTGTAATATCAAAATAACTGCCTTTTATTGAGCTGAAGGGGTTATTATTTGCCTGCTATTAAGATGTTAATAGCCATTTGCAAAATGTTTGTCTATCTGTCTCACTACCCTCGCTTCTCACCTTGCACATGACGGTGTCCGCGCGAGCTGCTGCGTCGGCCCGGCGCGGCGGCTCGGCCAGCAGCGGCAGCAGCACGTGCTCGAAGCACGCCTCCCAGCCGCCGCCGCCCAGCGCCGACAGCGCGGGCGCCAGCAGGGCCCGCTGCAGGTACGCGATCGCGCTGTTCGCCACCTGCAAACACCAGCACAATTAAATTAATTACAATAAATCGTGTAGTGGCAGCGTAAGAAGATCCAATACCACTTATCATCTCGTGGGGTTTTGACGTCAATAAACCTTTAACTTCTATAGTGGGACGCAAATCCGACAACTGATTATAACGAAATCGGGAAATACATTTTGCTGTTGCAGCAACATATTTCTACGTTGGTAAGAATATACGCGCCGCCATATTGAGGTGGTTTCAAAGTAAAATACACGACGATGTCTGAGACACAGCCACACCCCGATTTTTTTTAATAACATAACTAGTATTAACGTGCACACAGTCCACCTGATAGAAGTATGAGATATAGCCCATAACATATACATTTATGCTCTCTTAAAAACAAAATACAGATGTGCTGTCACGCATGAGGACTAAGATGGAATGCTTAATTTACAGTAAAAAGGATCTCTGGCTCTCTGCTGCTATTTTACGCTGGTATTCTGCGTAGTCTGCATTCTCCGGTCGAGTCGACCCATTCGTGCTACAACCATAATATAGCTGCAGCATGGTTCTACAACGTCTAAGATGAGTCATAAAAGGCGAAAGAGAAAAACTGGTACAAGATATGGGTAACAGCATCTTCCTAATAACAACGAAATAATTAAAAATATTATAAAATCGAAATAATAAAAAAAATCGATTGCCATCCCCGCCCGCCACGTATTGCAACTATGTCAAATATGCCCTCTCCCTCTGAGACAATTTGTGGGGGATATTCGATGTTTGACAATGGCAATACTTAATTACACTATTCAAAATGTGTTAAATATGTTTATTATTTCTTTCATGCTATTGTAAAAAGAATCACTCTTTGCAGATGCCACACGGCTTGCATCCTTCACGCTGGTACCCATCGCAACAAACCGAAACCGAACCCAAAATAACCCTGTATACAATTAACTAAAGAGAACATGACAAAAGATTAAGCTCCCTTGATAGAGTTATGAGTTATAGAGTATGCACAGTCCTATTTGTACATAGATATAAATCTGGACAACAAGCAGAAGTAAAACAATATTAAAGAGGTAAGTCTTTTCAACCGACTTCGGAGGAGGAGGTTCTCAATTCGACTGTATTTTTTTGTGTCATCTCAGAACTGTTTTCTAGGTGAACCGATTTGGACGATTCTTTTTATTTGAAAGGTGATGCTTCTCATGTGGTGTCATATAAATTTGATCAAGATCTGACCAGTAGTCTTTGAGTTATCCTTAATAATGCGTATTTAGTTGACTTCGACTACATTGATGATATTCTCATTTTATTTATGTTGAAGTCGGTAGTACAAACTTTTTTATTTTGTCATTTGTTTAAGAGTTCCAATAAAAATAATTGCAAATAACTAATACTTAGTTCTGTAATAAAGTCTTCAATTTAACAACATTTTGACTTTCTTAGATGCCTTACTATACAACTTTTTGCTTTGCTATCGCAAATCGCTAAATGAAAACAAAATTGTTAAATCTAACGGCTTACTACAGTGACAGCGATTCTTAAAAACATTAGAGAATGCCATGCAATACAATAAAGAACTCTAAATATCAAGTTAATCATTAAGATAAGGGATTTTAGCGACAGTAGCCTCATGGCAGGGTACGAACTGCGAACTCAAAAGGTCGTGGGTTCGAATCTGCCATTCGACTACTGTCGTGCACCACTCCTAACACAAGCATTTTAAGCTTACCAGAAGTAGTTGAAGTGAATATTAGTAATGTTAATATAATTGTTAGTATTTAAAAAAAGATGTGAACTTAGAATATGAAATAAATCGGTAGGTATAGATAACCACACCACTTTAATTCCTCCTTTGTCAACTTTAAGAAGTTATAATAATTAAATTCAAAGTTCAAGATGGAAAGTTAACAGAGTTGTATGGATAACTCACAGCTCACCTGACGAGCATACGGCTCACCTGATCGTAAGTGATCACAGTCGACCATTTCTAATAAGTATAGGCAGAGTTTTGTAAGATGTTCCATAAAATAAAGAATAATTTAAAATTAAAATTTTTGTACAACCGACTTCAATATAAATTATTAAGAATAACTCGAAAATGATTGGCACCAGCTTTCAAATAAAAAAAGAATCATCGAAATCGGTTCACCCAGTAAAAAATTATGAGGTAACACATAAAAAAACATACAGTCGAATTGAGCACCGTCTCCTTTTTGAAGTCGGTAGAAAAGAAGAAAGAATTTATCATGGGTGTATAGTATTAATAAACGACGACATAACAGAATAATTATTTATTTTTGCTACAACATATATATTTTAACATTGTTAGTAATATGGGAATTCATAATATTGATTTCATTATCTAATAGCCAGATACATGCGATGTTTTAATGTCATCTAATCCACTTTTATTTGATACATAGGGTTCCACAATCCAATGTTCCTGAAATCAATAAAAAATACATTATAATGTGACAGTGTCCAATGAATGAGTGAATCCATCAAGTCTGTAAGCATGTACATACAATTTTTATTGAATAAGTCACCCTTATATAGTCCATTTGATGGTAAGTGAACGCTAGGCCAATGAACATTTATATTTATACTCGATTAAAGATCAAAATACAGCTGCGTTGACACCCCGGAGGACTAAAACTAAGAAGTATTAACTTGTTATCAGTAAAAAGGGTCTCTGGTTCTCTAAGCACGGCACTATTCCGTTGCATCACTCTGGTATTCTGTAAGGGCGTGGACAGTCCAGCCAACCTATTCCTGCTGCGTTAGTATTATACTACGTAAATGATACATGGATAAAACTAAATAAGAATAAATTTATATCACCTATATTTAATTTCAATAACCTTTCTCTGTCTATTATTATTAAACACATAAAATAGATTTTCAAAATATAAATACTACTATGAACTAAAAAATAACTACATACCTTGTTTTCATTTTGTTTCCATCGTCTGTGTTTATTTGCAGGAATAGTCCACAAATATATATACCCTGCACGATGTAGAACAAAAGTTGCCAATTGAAGTTGTACAGTTGACCTTCGGATTCCTGCTTGTTGTTGTCATTCATAACAATGCGCTTTTGAATTCTATTGAGTTCTAAAATAGAAGGAGCTAACTGACGATTTACGTTTTGTCGGAAGTTTGTTTGTGGTCCCTGCCTTTCGTTATTCAGACGGGATACATGACTGCCAGAAAGAGACATTCGATGACCAGTTTTATGCATTCTGTGTCGAATATTATAAAGTTCAGTAGTAGAACGAGATAGATAACTTTCAAGTTCAAGTCTTCGTCTATTCTCAGAGCGTTCTGTTGCAGAAGAAAGTTTTCGTTCAATGTTGGGAATAGTGTTTGCCCGTTTAGAAGTAAAATGAGTAACTTCAACGTTGCGTCCATTATCTTGATGCGTTGTAGCAGAAAGGGAACGTAGGCGTCTCAAGTTGGACTGTAGTTCTTGTCGTTCTGATGTATTAGGAGAATAATCAAGTAGAATACTTCGGCGAATATCTGAGCGTTCAGTTGAGGATCTGGCGACTTCGATGTTTCGTCGATTGTTTTGGTGCGTTGCAGTAGATCGAGAATATTGTCGTTCCATACTCCGACGTTTTTCAGAACGATCAGTTTGAGAGATTTCACTTTTAATAATTCGTCTCCTACTATCCGCTGATTCAATAATGGAACGAGCGAAATCAACATTTCGTCGGTTATCTCGTCGAGATGTAGCAGATCGAGTATTCTCACGCTCCATGCTGCGTCGGTTTACGTTACGTACCGTACCGGTATGACTGAATTCACGTTCAATGCTGCGTATATCTTTGCGTTTATTAGAACGGATCAGTTCAATGGTGCGTTGAGTATCTTTTTGCGTTGCATAGTTACGTCGTTCTATGCCGCGACGGTTATCAATACGGTCTAAGGCGATATGAGAGCTTGCATGCCTAATACTGCAACTCCTAGTGTCTGCGAATTCAGTAGTTGATCGAGCGATTGTCTCAGCAGATTTCGCAGTGAAACGAGAGCTGTGGCTTTCAATGTTCCGTCGGTATTGGATATTATCAATGAAGCGAGTAACTCCTGCGCTTTCAACAGTGGAACCAGTGACCTGTAGTTCAACGCTGCGTCTATTATTTTGTCGTGTATTAACGTGGTCAGAATTTTGACGTTCCATATTACGTCGAGTTTCAGTTCTTTCCGCGACGTTATGAAGGAGTGTACGTTGAGTGTTATGTCGAATGGATACTTGTTTAAGAATGGAACGAGCTATATCGATGCTGCGTCGATTATCTTTATGTGTAACATAACGAGAATCTTGTAGATCAACCATGCGTCGGTTTTCCGTATCTTCTGAAGATCTACGTTCAATTACACGAGTAATGTCTGCCATTTTTGTAGTGTCATTACTTAGTCTTGATTCTCTCTTGCGTCGATCATCTCGGCGTGCGGCAGCAGAACGGGAATCATGAAGATTGGTAATGCGTCGGTTTCCGATATGTTTTGTGGATCTTCGTTCAATGTTGCGAGTGATGTCCGCCCTTTCAGTAATAGACTGGGCTAATCTTAGTTCATTGCTGCATCGATCTCCTTGACGTGTTTCAACAAAACGAGAGTCCTGAAGTTCGCCTCTACGTCGGTTTTCTTTACGTTCTGTGCTGAGATTGATTTCACCTTCAATACTGCGTCTTATATCTACGCGTTCATTAGTGGAGCGAGTGACTCGTAGTTCAATGCTGCGTTGATTACCTAGTCGCGATGCAACTGAACGAGTACGTTGTCGTTCTATGTTGTGGCGGTTTTCAGAGCGATCAAAAGCGGTGTGAGAGATTCTGCGCTCAATTCTACTTCTTCTAGTGTCTGCAGAGTCCGTATTTGAAAAAGTAAGATCAATTTTTCGCCGATTAACTTGGCGTGTTACTGAGAAACGAGAATGTGCTGCCATGTTGCGTCGGGTCACGGAACGTTCTGTGGCGAAATAAGAGGGTTTACGTTCAGTGCGG